TGAGATTGTGTCTCAAAAAATAAATTGCTTAAGGGCACCATTATATGGCAGTTTTAGGCCTTAAACCTCTAATGCCCTATGCTCCAAATTCACCCCTGCTGTTGTGTACATTGGCCTTCTAAAATTACTTAAAATACCAACTTCTCTGGTATATTTAAAATGTGATTCCACTTACAAGTATCTAATTTATATTTAGTTTTTAGGAATGTATATGTTTGTATCTGTTTTAAAAAGTGAGTGATACCTACACAATGTGGTACTTTAGTATAGCAAAGTACTAGAAAGTTCAGAGAAATTTCGTATTTATGCACAATGATTAACAAGAAATATCTGTGTTGAACATACCATATTAAAGGTTAGTAGGGTGGTACCTGTGGCTCAAAGGGTAGGGCGCCGGCCCCATATGCCAGAGGTGGCAGGTTCAAACCCAGCCCTGGCCAAAACTGCAAAAAAAAAAAAATGTTAGTAGTTGCTGTTACCAGTAGCACATTCATTGAAGACTTTCAATAGGTTGGAATGATTTGTATTAAAATCTAATGGTTAATGAAATGACTGTGTTAATTCTGTTTTTTAGGTGTCATTGATGGCTATGCAGATGAAAAAACTCTTTTTGAAAGGCAAATTCAGGAAAAAACTGACATAATAGATCGTCTGGAGCAGGAGTTGTTGTGTGCTGGTAATAGATTAGAAGAACTGGAAGCAGAGCGGCAGCAGATCCAAGAAGAAAGAGAATTATTGTCCAGACAAAAGGAGGCTATGAAGGCAGAGGCAGGCCCAGTTGAACAACGTATGTATTTTCAGAACTCGTATGAAACATTTCTCCAATTTTATTTATATTCTTTCAAAGTCCAGGGTGGCTGTTTTTCCTCCTTCATTGCCATTATTCATGTATTTTATATAGAGATTTTTTAATTATCAGAAAATCTACCTTATAGGTAAATGTTTTATTAGCCAACCATGTGCAATGGTGACTTTTTTAGTAGAGACAGGCTCTCGCTCTTGCTCACACGGTCTTGAACTCCTGAGCTCAAAGAGTCTACCCGCCTCCATGCCCCAGAGTGCTAGGATTATAGGTGTAAGGCTCCACACCGGCCTATAATGATGGAACTTTAAACCCTGTTTATGATGCCCTCTCACTTTCCTGTTGCATATGCAGTTAGAATTATGTGTTTTCACTGACTTTATCCGTTTAGAAATACAACATAACATTTTTGGAGTGTGGTGAAGATTTTTCCTGATTGCTCAAATTAGTTTAACATAAGTTTAGAATTGGAATTTTTAAATGTGGAAAGAATATACATTATACATGTAAAATATGCCGGAAATGTAACTTCTCTAAATGTTACCAATGGTAATAATCAGTGACTTCAACTTTTGCTTTTTGAGGGTGCGCGTGCGTGCGTGTTGTGAATGCTATCCTATTTTAGGAAATGGAAGACATATAAATTTTTGTTGTATCTTTTTTCTTTTTTTTTTTTTTTTCCCTGTTCTCCTAGGACTGGTTGATGCTGCAGTTGATGCAGCACCTGGAGCAGGTGTGTGTACACAGTTGCATGGCCAGTCCTTGGGTGGGAGACTTACAACTCCAAAGTATGGGTGACCCCTGGATTTTCAACCACTAACATATCTCTAATTTTGCATTTTTGCTGTTGTGTTTCATACTTACAGTTTTCCTCTTTAACAACAAAAGGCTTCTCTTACAATAAAAGTACATATGTATTTTTATGTGAAATTAACAGCTGAGATTCATAATGACCATCATCTTAAAATAGTGACCATAGTGACCATTTTGATTTTAAGTTGTTTAAAAAACTTTCTTTCAAAAATATATTAAACTGTTCTTATCTATAAGTTTTCAAAAAGCTGTTTCTTAATTAGGGAGTAATAAAATGATGGTAGCAAAAGGATTAGTGAAATTTAGTAAGAGGCTTTCTGGTTGATTTGCCTTTGTATTACCATGTAATATCAGTATTGTTTTAGAAGAAAAGCTGTTTTCTATAGATCTTAGTCCTGAGTACCAAGTTGGAACAGCAATTAGCATGAACACTCTAGGGATTTCTTTTTTTTTATTTTTTGTTGTTGTTGTAGAGACAGGAGGTCCCACTCTGGCTCAGGCTGGTCTCAAACCTCTGAGCTCAGGGCAATCCACCTGCCTCGGCCTCCCAGAGTGTTAGGATTATAGGTGTTAGCCACCACACCAAATCAGTAGAGATTTTTTTTTTCCATTTTCTTCATTAGAAGATTTTTTTTTTTGCTATATATACTTCATTATTGTATTATTAATAATAGCTAACACATAATACTTACCGTACCCTAGGCACTGTTCTTTACATACATTAACTCATTAAATCCCAAAGTAACTTAAAGAGATCAGTAATACTATCTTCAGTTTATATATAAAAAAAAATTGATGGACGTCACGTTAAGTGGCACATGCATGATAATTGGTAGAGCTAGGATTTGAACCTCGCAGTCTGCTCTTGAGCACTGCACCACACTTTATCCACGTGGGTTTCCTTGGTGCACATACGTGTGAGCATGCAGAGCAGCTTAGGAATTTGGACCTAATAAGGAGTAAGACTAACAGACATTCTGCCTATAGTTGTATTTCTTTTCTGTAACTCTTACTTACCTTGGTTAAAGATTTACGATGTTTGATCTTCATGTGTGTTATATATGTATATAAAATTGACTTTATGGGTTTGGAATGACTGCTTTATGCCTGAGGTGAAGAAATGGTGAGTTTTTCCTATGCTCGAATTTAATTGGACTTTGTTTCTTTCCTGATAATAAAACTAGACTTTTTGTCATTTGCTATGTTATTTTCACAAAGAATATTATTTTTAGTGACAGGATATATTCTCTTTTGTTAACACTGTATAATTTTACTTATGCTACTTTGTTTACTTATGTAGGAATATGTTGAGATATTTTGATATTTTCATAAGATAAATACTTTATGTATATTTAAAGTAATTCACGTTCTATTTCATAAAGGTAAAATTTTGATTTTGGTAGTTATGGCTGATTGAATTATCTTAACATCACCAACTGTGATGTAACTCAGGATACTTTTGCATCTATAAACAGAATTACTACAGGAGACAGAAAAACTAATGAAGGAAAAACTAGAAGTACAGTGTCAAGCTGAAAAAGTGCGTGATGACCTTCAAAAGCAAGTGAAAGCTCTAGAAATAGATGTTGAGGAACAAGTCAGTAGGTTTATAGAGCTGGAACAAGAAAAAAATGCGGAACTGATGGACTTACGACAGCAAAATCAAGCACTGGAAAAGCAGTTAGAAAAAATGAGAAAATTTTTAGATGTAAGTATTCTTAACTTAAATATTGATTTTCCTCAGTGGAATGTTACTTGCTACTATTATGGGCTGTGAATTTTAAATTATCAAGACTCTTTAATATTTTACTTATGTGTATTCTACCAATTGATCAAAAAATATTCAATTTAAAATTCCATTAATTTTTATCATACAGCAATCAGAATTAATATCAGTAGAGCTAAATAAATTATCCACAAGCCCTACCAGTTAGCCTTTCCAAAATCAGAGTTAAGAAGCTAATCCTAAAAAAAAAAAAGAGGCAGCAGCAGCATATCCTAGTGTTTCATGTAAGCAGTAGCCAAAGCTGGTGGGAATTCCAAGAGCCAGTTGGCCACTGCTGCTTCAGCCTAAAAAGATACCTGCAGGTAACAACGTGGTGGTTGGAAGTAGGAGACTAGACCAGTAGCCATGCTGCCATTACTGTCTTCCCATCTTCCTTTGAGGTTTTATTTAAGAATGATAATCTCTTCACAGATCAGAGAATCAGATTCTTACACATTTTATAATTTTAGGTATACACATAGATTAGGATTTTAAAAATTGACTTACCAAATTATTTATTTTAGTTATTTTGTTTAACCACTAAATTAACAGTGGAATTCCTTCTTTGTTCCAACAGTTGAATTCAGGTTAAGGTGAATTTTTTTTTTTATTCTTCATTTAACGATAATTAAATAAAAAAGAAATGTTATTTCAGATAGTAGTTATATACTTAATGTTTGTAGAGGAGCCCAAATAGGCTACATATCATACCAAAAAAGTTATCTTTTTAAACCTTGGGGTATTCTATGATCTTCAGTCCTTTGTCTTCAAACAAAACTAACCTACCACTAAAGGGGAAGTAAGAGAATTAAAAGCTTCACTAAATGTTGTTTCTTCCGTTGCTGTTATTAAACTTCAGGAGCAAGCCATTGACCGAGAACACGAGAGAGATGTATTCCAACAGGAAATTCAGAAATTAGAACAGCAACTGAAGGTTGTACCTCGATTCCAGCCTATCAACGAACATCAAACTAGAGAGGTAAGAACTTAACTTGACCTTGTCTACCATACAGTGATTTGTATCTTGAGTACAAAATAAGATGCACATTACAAAAAACATAAGAGTGATTTATTTTTATTATACATAAATCTTTAAAATCAGAAAATTAAATGTTACTTAAAACACAAGAAAGTCATTAATCCTAAAAATTGTTGGTATTGAAATCTGGAATCAGTCTCATTTGCCTATATCTGCTAGTATTGCCCAATTAAATAAACTTTCCTGCCTGTTTCTGTATTCCCATTCTCAACAAGACTGATCAAAAGTGTTATCTGTATTCACTCTCTACTGTCCTGTCCTATCCTGTGCTCGGTCTACTCCACTGAAGTTTCCAAGTGCTGTATTTCAGTGGGATTTAATATTTCTACTCCATTTAAAGTGTTCTTGTGAAGGTTTGCAGAGAACCTTGATACATGGCTGTATCAAATAATCACCTTAAATGTTCATCTTAACCATTCAGAACCATGTATTACAGCCTTCTTCCAGAATACTTTCTGCTCTTGGCTTCTGTGACATGTCTGTTCCACCTGTGTCCCCTTATACTTTATCAGTAAATTCTGTACTTCTATATCTTCTTGCTGAGACTCAGAATTTATCCTTGACTCCTCTCTTTTTCCTCAGCCCCTCCTTCCAAACCATTGGTGGGTCAGCTTGCACTGCACCTTTCTGTTGTTGCTACCTCGTTCACCCACCAAACCCTAGTTATCATCATTGTTTCCAAGCCATTGTGATGACCTCCTGACTAGTCTCTTTGCTTCTTTTTCACCCTAATTGTCCATTTTCCTCATGTAGAAACATAGTCAGAACTTTGTATTTACCAAATGAATGCAACATGAATGAGTTAAGATTCATTGTATAAACTCCTAATGATGGCTTATCATGATAAAGACATTGTGCTTGGGGTAAGGCGATCTCAGTTTCGAACATGATTCTGCTGTTTACCAAACATGTGGCAGTGACTAAGTCTCTTTGTCTCTCGAATCTCTGTTTCTTCATTTCTGAGAGGGAGACTGTAATAGCACCCTTCTCATTGAAGTATTGGCCTGCCACATAGTGAACACTTACAGTTAGTATTATTTCTGAAAACAACTTTTTATTTCTAATATAATTTCTTTTTTTTTTTTAATCTTTTTTTTTTTTTTGAGACAGGAGCCTCAAGCTGTCCCCCTGGGTAGAGTGCTGTGGCATCACAGCTCACAGCAACCTCCAACTCCCGGGCTCAAGCGAGTCTCCTGCCTCAGCCTCCCAAGTAGCTGGGACCACAGGCGCCCACTATAACACCCGGCGATTTTTGGTTGCAGCCATCATTGTTGTTTGGCAGGCCCATGTTGGATTCAAACCCACCACCTTGGATGTATGTGGTTGGCACCTTAGCCACTTGAGCCACAGGCGCCGAGCCTCTAATATAATTTTTATGCACTTTACTGGATTTTATTTCTCTTAAAGAGTTCCAAACACCTATAAACTCACTATAATAATTTTTTTTTTAAGAGACAGAGTCTAACTTTATCAACCTCAGTAGAGTGCTGTGGCATCACAGCTCACAGCAACATCCAGCTCCTAGGCTTAGGCACTTCTCTTGCCTCAGCCTCCCGAGTAGCTGGGACTACAGGCGCCTGCTACAATGCCCAGCTATTTTTTGTTACAGTTTGGCCAGGGCCAGGGCCAGTTCTGAACCTGCCAACCTCGGCATATAGGGCCAGCGCCCTACCCACTGAGCCACAGGTGCTGCCCCAACACTATAATAAAATTTTATTCACTAGAGTAGTAGGAAAGTTTATCAGTTTCCACAGAGTTTAGTTCTAGCCCTTATTCCTAACAAACATACACACTTGTAGAAAATAATCATTAGTTTGTCAAACTCAAAAGAACATTTAAACTCTAGAACTTACGGCCTGGCACAGTGGCTCACACCTGTAATCCCAGTACCCTGGGAGGCCAAGGTGGGTGGATTGCCTGAGCTCATAGGTTCAAGACCAGCCTGAGCCAGAGCAAGACGCTATCTCTAAAAATAGGAAAGTGTTGTGGTGGGCACCTGTAGTCCCAGTTATTCAAAAGGCTGAGACAAGAGAATTGCTTAAGCCCAGGAGTTTGAGGTTGCTATGAGCTATAATGCACAGCACTCTACCAAGGGTGACAAAGTAAGGCTCTGCCTCAAAAAAATAAAAATAAATAAATAAACTCTAAAACTTAGAGTGTCACATTGTATGGTTTTCTTATATTTGAAAAGGTTGTCCTGCCCATTCATGAAATTTTAAGAGACTAGTAAGGATGTGCATGTCTGATGCTTTTCCAAGATTTTGGGTTTTTGTTTGTTTTCTCTCTTATCTTGCCAGATCTGATTCCTGGCTTCTCAAGAACTATAAATTCTAACTAATTATATATTGTGCTGGTTTTTTGTACCTGTTTTATTGCCTTTGCTCTTGACCTTACTCCCAAATCTTAATTAATCTGTTATTGTTAAAATTTCTTCTTAATAGCTTTATTACTGTTATCCTTAACCTTCTAATATTCTTGCAGTTTTTTAATGTTCTGAGGAATCATTGTAATTTGTAGGAATTCTCTCTTGAGTATTTCACTGGCAAAAGGTAGAATTCCTTTTATTTCTTACCATCATACCTTTTTTTCCTTTTGAGACAAAGTCTCATTATGTCACCCTCGGTAGAGTGCCACAGTGTTACAGCTCACAGCAACCTCAAACTCTTGGGCTCAAGCGATTCTCTTGCCTCAGCCTCCCAAGTAGCTGGAACGACAGGCGCCTATCACAACACCCAGCTATTTTTAGAGATAGGGGTCTCACTCTTGCTCAAGCTGGTCTCAAACCCGCGAGCTCGAGCAATCCACCCATATCAGCCTCCCAAGTGCTAAGAGTACAGGCATGAGCTGCCATGCCCAGCCTCACATGCTTTTTATTTGAAGTAAACTTTCTCTCCTCACTTGATCTGAACTAATCTCTTAAATTATTACTAATCTTTCTATTCTTCACATCACAAAACCATTCACTAGAAGGGATCTGCATACCAGCGTTAGGGAATATGTCTTAGAGAGCTTCGCTTATTTTGGGTAGAGGAAAAAACAAGACTAGCAAGACACTTAGGGAGGCTCTCAAGGTACACAGATGCTTCTCGCCACCCTGCATTCTCATCTCTAGTCTGAGCTGATGGAATGTACAGGTGTAAAAAGTGACTGTTACGAAATTATAATCCATAAAAGGTTTTCTATATCAGTTTATCTCATGGAAGAGTAAGGAAAAGTAGTGTGCAAATTTGTCTTCTTTATTAGGTCTTAGTGTGACTGTGTCATTAGACAATTCAACATACTAAAAATGTGTTTTTCCCTTCTTTCTAGACAGAGAAAGTGTTAGTCTCAAGAGAAAGAACTTTTTTTTTTTGAGGTGGCTTCTCTTTCTTATCACCCACACTGGAGAACAGTGGGCTCATTATAGCTCACTGCAACCTCCAAACTCCTAGACTCAAGGGACCTCCCCGCCTTGGCCCCCTAAAGTGCTAGGATCACAGGCCTGAGCCCCAACACCTGACCTGAGAAAGAACTTTAAGGATTGTGTGAAAACAATTTATGTCTTTTTTACTAATGTTGCTTTTTTACTAGAGTTGCCAAGTTTTATCAACTTGGAAAATGTCACCTTGTTGTAGACAATAGTTCTTATCCTTAAAAAAATTAAATTAGGATAACATTTAAAAATACTTTCTAGAAAAAATGCCTTTCGAAATGAAAATAGATACATCTTATACAGGTTAACTATCCTTTATTTCAAATGCTTGGGACGAGAAGTGCTTCTGGTTTTGGATTTTGTAATGTTTGCATAACATTTACCAGTGCCACATTCCTAATCTGAAATCAAAAATGCTTTAATGAGCATTTCATTTGGACATCATATCAGCACTCAGAAAGTTTTAGATTTTGAGCCAGGCATGGTGACCTATGCAACTGTAACCCCAGCTACTTAGGAGGCTGAGGCAGGAAGATCACTTGATCCCACTAGATCACGCTAAGACCTAATAAAGAAGACAAATTTGCATACTACTTTTTCTTACTCTTCCATGAGACCTTTAAAAATGACCTTTAAAATCTTTTATGGATTATAATTTGATAATAGTCACTTTTTACATCTATACATTCCATCAGCTCAAAAGAGATGAGAATGCAGGGCAGTAAGGAGCATCTGTGTACCGTGAGGCTGTAGTGAATGCACTGTGATGGCACCTGTGAATAGCCAAGCTGCGCTCCATGTGAATAGCCTGTGGGTAGCCCCTGCACTCTGATCTACCTGGGGCAGCATAGCAAGACTTCATCTCTACAAAGTTTCATTTTAGAGTGTTTCAGATTTCAGAGATCTGAAATTAGGAATACTCAACTTGTAGTTAGGAGCTTGCTAAATTTTGTTTTAATTATAATTTTTGCTTCATATATTTCAGGTGGAACAGTTAACAAATCATCTGAAAGAAAAAACAGACAAGTGCAGTGAGCTTTTGCTCTCTAAAGAGCAGCTTCAAAGGGACATACAAGAGCGAAATGAAGAAATTGAGAAACTGGAGTTCAGAGTAAGGGAACTGGAGCAAGCCTTACTCGTTAGTGCAGACACTTTTCAAAAGGTATGGCTTCTTATTTGGGCAAATTAAGGGTTTTAATCAAGATTACCTCAGGCTCGGCGCCTATGGCTCAAGCGGCTAAGGCACCAGCCACATACACCTAAGGTGGCAGGTTCGAATCCCGAGCCTGGTCCCGCCAAACAACAATGATGGCTGCAAACAAAAAATAGCCGGGCGTTGTGGCGGGCGCCTGTAGCCCCAGCTACTTGGGAGGCTGAGGCAGGAGATTCTCTTGAGCCCAGGAGTTGGAGGTTGCTGTGAGCGTGATGCCATGGCACTCTACCCAGGGGGATAGCTTGAGGCTCCGTCTAAAAAAAAAAAAAAAAAAGATTACCTCAGTTACTCAAACATCAGTTCTTTTAAAGAAAAAATTATTGAGTTCTTGATATTAATATGTAAAATATGAAGTATATATCTTTCTCTTTGTTAACATCATAATCATTTCTGTTTGGTTTTATTTCCAAAAGTTGCTTACATATCTTAGTCCTGAGAAAGGAAGGTTAGTTGAACCAGGAGTAGTAATTACTCTTTTAATCATCAATAATAGAATAGTGAATAATGGACACCAGTTTAGCCTGATGCTGTACCCTAAGCTAAGCAGTAGCACAGTCCATCACCATTGTGTGTCAGAAAGCAAAAATGAATAAAATAAGAGCAAGAAAAGAAAACTTGGGAAGGGGATAGAAAGGAGATTTCTGTGTGAATTTACGCATTCAGAACTGAATATCTGTAATTTTTGGATTATTCACTAATGTAGATTTTCTACTCCTAATTAAAGAGAATTGCTGCTTATACCCAAAAAAGGTATAATCAAAATTTAATGTTTAACAATTTGAGAACATTTTTATATATTTAAAGGCAGAGGACCAAAAACAGTTTGGAGCTGCTAAAGCAGAATTGTCACTGGAAGTACAATTGCAGGCCGAACGAGATGCCATAGACAGAAAGGAAAAAGAGGTAAGAAGTTTATTTTTAAATGACAAAATGTAGTTTCAAATATTTTAAATCAGTTACCTGAAAGTAGTCATTTGAATGAAATGGAGTGTGTGATCTAAAACCAGAGTTCATGCTGTTTCTCAGCTCAGTAAATTGACCTGGAAGGCAGTCAACATGTGAGCAACTAAGTGTAAAGTCCTTGAAGCAGGAAGTTTAGAGGGGCAGAAATAGGGCCAATTTAGCAGGTAGCTGTGAAGAGCAGGGCAGAAAAGTATAGTAATGTTAGGACAAAGGGGTCTTTCTTTTCTACTAACCATGGCATGAACATTGAGTTGCCACTTTGCTGCATTTTGTTTGTTTGTTTGTTTTTAAAGTTGTATTGCCCTGGGAGATTATGGTGCTGTTTTACAATATAATAAATGCATTCCTTTTTCTTGTTTTTTTTTGAGACAGAGTCTCACTATGTCACTCTCGGTAGAGTGTCATGGCGTCATAGCTCACAACAACCTCAAACTCTTAGATTTAAGCAATTTTCTTGCCTTAGCCTCCCAAGCAGCTGGGACTACAGGTGCCTGCCACAACGCCCAGCTATAATAAATGTATTCTTAAAACAAGAGATTAATAGTAAAGTATTATATAAAGTTCTCCTGTATTTCTCTACTCTTTCCCTTCCTAAAAAAGAAAAATCTACATTTAGGACAGTGGTAATTTCAACTTTCTAAATAATTTATGATTTATTTAAGCTTTTGTCTACTAATAGTTTTTCTAAAACAAATTATAATACAACATTGTCTAGCTATGTCATATTGTTAAAATTTACATAAAATAAAATTTAAAGTTTTTTTTTTAATTTAAAGTTTTTTTAAATTATATCTTTGGCTATTAATACTCAGGATAATTTTATATCTATACTTTTTTTTTCAGTCACAGTCTCACTTGTCACCCCCAGTTGAGTGTCATGGTGTTATAGCTCATAACAACCTCAAACTTTTGCGCTCAAGTGATTCTCTTGCCTCAGCCTCCCAAGTAGCTAGGACTACAGGCGCCTGCCACATCTGGCTGATTTTAGAGACAGAGTCTTGCTCAGGCTGGTCTCAAACTCCTGTCCTGAAGTGATTCTCCAGCCTCAGCCTCCTAAAGTGCTTGGATGATAGGCGTGAGCCACTGGGTGCAGATCCTATATGTTATTCTATTTAAGATACTTTCCACTACTCTCAGAGCCTACATTTTTATAGGTCTTTTTTTAAAAAAAAAATCTTCCTCTGTCATGTAGGCTGGAGCAGTGACATAATCACAGGTCACTGAAACCTGGGCCCAAGCAGTCCCTCTGCCTCAGTCCCCCAAGTACCTGGGACTGCAGGTTTGTGCTCCCAGGCTAATTTTTTAATTTTTTTTAATTTTTTGTGCAGACAGGATCTCATATGTTGCCCAAGCTGGTTGCAAACTCCTGGCCTCAGGTGATTCTCCCACCTCATCTTCTTAAAGTGGTAGGATTACAGGCATGAGATACCACACTTGGCCTATGAAATATTTTTTCATTTATTTAGTTTAAGAATATTTAGAAATGGAAGGTGAATAAAAAGAGAAGAAAACTTTAAAAGAAAGGAGTTTGGGGATTATAGGAGAAAGGGATTAATGGAGAAAAAAATGGAAGTATTTCTTTTAGAAAAAGATACAAAAGATTTTAGCTCTTTACAGAGCTAATGAAATCTTACTTGCGGGTAGCAATGATAGTAGTTAATTTTGTTGAGGGCTGTTATACTGCAGAGTGCTAAGTGTTTTAAATGCCTTAATACCATTAATCCTTACAATTTTCCCTGGGACAAGCTGTATTTTTCTCCAGTTTGCAGATGTATAAACTGAGTCTTAAGAGAAGTTATGTATCTTGCTCATGGCCACACACTAAGTGGTTGAGCAAGAATTCTTCTCGTGTTTCCCTGAGGGTGAAGCCCTGTGATACTACTGCCAAAGCACTGGGGCCTGTTACATCTTGTCAGTAAGAAGTATTTAAGACTACCATGCAACACTTATTAAACTCTTAACACATGAGAGAACTGGTGTCCAGTACTGGACTTCAAGGAATTCACTATCTAATTAAGGAGACAGATGGATTTGAAAGAGTAAAAAATTCTTTTACAAAAAGAAAACACAAATAGGTTAGGTACAAATTAATAAAATCCAAATAAATTTAACAACAGAAAAACAATAGTTACCAGTTTCTAGTTTCAAACTTTAATAATAGTGTTCTGGTATTGGGTTGTTACGAACTCACTAATAAGAGAGCCGGAACTACATTGGAGTCTGGCTGAATAGGATGGCCCTACAGCATCATCAGTTTAGGAATTGAAATGTCTGATTTGAAGCCTCAACTTCAGCTTCCTAGGACAAGAAAGTTAGTGCTTTCAGCTAGGGCTTCTCTAACTTGAATGTGCTTACGAATATCTTGGGGATTTTGTTAAAATACAAGTCTAGGGTGTGACATGACATGCTACACCTCTAACCTCATCCTGTGTGGTACCAGGTCTGTCCCACAAATCACTGAGTAGTGAATGAGGCATTAGATTCCAGAACTAGGAATTTGGTCATAAATTGTTGTATTAAAAAAACAAGTAAATGGCACATGAGATTGGGTAGCAATTTTGAACTTAAATAACTATGTATGTGTTGATTTTAAAATAATACCTGGTCATCACAAGTACTTGTGGAAAGATAAAGAAGATTGGAAATACTATGATGTTAGATAGCTTTGAAGAAAATACAGTCATTATAGTGTTCAGCAACCTGATAATTATATATATGCATAACCACTAAATGTATTTCAGTGTTTACTGAGTTTAATACCAGTATGACAGCAAAATTTTTAAATGTTTCATCTCAGACATTAGTTATTAGAAACAGGATAAATGATAGTTTAGAACAGAAGTCTCTAGAAGTAATCTTCCCAAGGTCAAAAGCTGGCTCTACCATATACTAGCTATGTGACCTCAAGGCAAGTTAGTCCTCTGTGATTCTCTTCCTCATCTCTAAAGATGGCATTGTCATAGGACACATCTCATAGGGTTTTAAGAAAATAATATGTATAAAGCACTTTGTACATTGCTTAGCAGTAAATTGGAATGGCTATTACTACTAGTATTGATATTATTTCTAAGAAATTTTAAGCTACCTGATTCTCAAGGTCTTGCCTTGTCAGTGCTATAATATTCTGATTTTGTAATATGTCAACAGATGATTAGCATCTGCCCTCTTTCAGTTCTAAATGAGGCTCTAAATGATTTATAGGCTGCTCTCTGAGCTAGCTGCCACTAAATGCTTGTATCTTAGGTTGCTTTTGAATCATCAAGTAAGTGCATATTGAGAAATCCATTCATTTAGTATTTATTAAGTAGCTGCAAACAAGTGAGCAAAATGACTGTTGCTGTCTACAATCAAAACCAATTTTGTAAATATAAAAATAACTAGTTCTTGGTGGTGCATGATGGTTCACACCTATAATCCTAGCACTTTGGAAGTCAGAGGTAGGAGAATTGCTTGTGGTCTGGAGTTTGAGACTAGACCAGACAAAAATAATAATAGTAATAATAATAGAAGAAATTAGCCAGGAGTGTAGTGTGTGTCGTCCCAGCATCCTAGCTACTTGGGAAGCTGAGGCAGGGGATCACTTGAGCCCAGGGGTTTGAGGTTGCCGTGATCTATGATCATGCCACTGCCACTGGGGAACTAAGCAAGACCCTGTTTCTTAAATTTAGAATCGAGTTCTTAGTATCTGTCATTAGTTTCAGTCTCTGTATAACTATCAATGATCACTAGCTTTGCCATTATTGACAGTCCATCCTCAGGGACTTTGATTTTCAACTAAAATTGTGTGAAGTTACTCTAAGGTTTCTGTAATTCAGACCTAAAGATCTCTTGGTTTTAGTTTCTACCTCTGCTTCCCTCTGCTTAACGACCCACATGGCACCCAAACCTGGCAGTGGGTTAACTAGATTTTACTAGACTAAATCGAACTAGTCTCACTTGATGGCTAAAATAACTGACTTAATTCTATAGTTTTTGGAGTCTTTTGATAGCAACTAAATTAAACTAAGTTTTAATATGTTGACTCTTCCCCTTCTATAACTCTTTTGCCTCATGAGAAGATATTTTAGGTAGGAATTGGCTTCTTTTATCTTTTCTCAAAAGGTCTCTGCTTTGAGTAGGATAGCTTAAGGATGTTCAGTTTGAGCATTTCTAGGACTCGCACAAGTGTACTTGGATTAGAAAAACCACATTTCTTTTATTCTCATGACTCAAATATTTTAAGCATTTGTACTTGCAAAGTTAATAGCACTCTTCTCTCTTGATAATTATTTGTGTAACAAATAATAATTTTTTCTCTCTTTTGATAATTTTGATATTAAAGATCACAAACTTAGAAGAGCAATTAGAACAATTTAGAGAAGAACTGGAAAACAAGAATGAAGAAGTTCAGCAACTACACATGCAATTAGAAATACAGAAAAAGGAGTCTACTACCCGCCTACAAGAACTAGAACAAGAAAATAAATTATTCAAGGTAATTAGTTTAGAAAGCTTTTGCATATAAGTCAGTCAGTTTTGGTTCTATATAGCTTTATTAAGTATTTGCTAAGTCCAGCTGCTAAATAATACATTAATGGGCAAATAGATTTGCATGAAACTTACTTTCAGCCCAACCTAAACATTTGAATTCATCGTAAGTGAAAAATGTTGAGAGCTTTTACCAAATCTTTTTAAGGATTATAATAACCATATGATACTTGTAATTTTTATCATTTGTTCCTAATATGCACCATATCTTTTGTAAGAGTTAATTGAAAGAATGTTCTCAGAATGACATGTAATGATACATCCAACTTTAACGGTTATTTTTATCCCTAGGATGAAATGGAGAAACTGGGATTTGTTATAAAAGAATCCGATCCTATTTCTACTCAGGACCAACATGTGCTATTTGGGAAATTTGCTCAAATAATACAGGAAAAAGAGGTAGAAATTGACCAATTAAATGAGCAAACTGCAAACCTTCGGCAGCAACTTAAAAGTGCAACAGATAACAAGGTATACTCATTTACAATTGGTTATTAGCGGAAATTAATATGAGCCAGAATTTTAAAGGGCAAAATAGTTACAGTTTTCAGTTTTACACTAAGTTTAAAAACCAGGTGTAACTCTTAACTCTCTGTTAGCCATTAGTATTAATTTATAAGAAGCAAAGGTTTAGTAATCTGTGAATATTTTTATTCCTCCTAATATTGTCGTGCTGGCATTGGTGGTATAGTGGTGAGCATAGCTGCCTTCCTCTTAATATTGTCAGAGAATTTTAATGTTTTTTCTGGGAGACTCTATGACTTAGACTTCATTATATTATAATCAAATCTGTTATAAATTCTCATATCTCATATGAGTTAATTACCTTTGGACACAACTTACTATAGGCTTTAGTACTTCATCCTTTTCAATTACATTTTTTTAATGAAATGTTTACAATTTTTTTTTCAGGTTAATATGAGGGTACAGATGATTAGGTTAGATAGAGTCCAAGTTGTAGTCGTGCCCCTCATCCAGGAGTTGTGCCATATACCCATATATTGTGCATATTGAAAGCACACCAATCCCCTATTCATCTTCCTCCTTTCCCCGTCCCTCCTTTCCTTGTCCCTTCCCCCCAACTGGAGTTTAATTATGCTTTTCCTCTTATATGTGCTTGTATTTGTTCATCCTGGTTTCATATTAGAATTGAGTACATTGGATATCTGATTTTTCCATTCTTGTGATACTTTATGAGTAGACTGTTCTTCAACTTCATCCAGGTTTATATAAAAGATGTCAAGCCTCCATCTTTTTTATGACTGAATAGTATTCCATGGTATACATATACCATATTAATACATTGATGTGTTTATGGGCACTTGAGTTGCTTCCACATCTTGGCAGTTGTGAATTCAATTAAGACATATTGATATATTGAGGCCAAGGCAGGAGGATTACTTGAGGCTAGGAGTTCAAGACCAGCCTGAGCAAGAGTGAGACCCTATCTCTACAGAAAATAGAAAAATTAGCTGGATGTATTGCCACACACCTGTATTCCCAGCTACTTTGGAGGATGAGGTAGAAGGATTGCTTGAGCCAGGAATATGAACATGTAGTGAGATCACACCACTATACTCTAACCCAGGAAAACAGAGCTCAAAAAAATAAATAGAAAATAGATGTAGATATTGAGTGTTTTGCTATTAGGAAATCAGCGCCTAGAAGTCTAAGTCACTTTACATTTAACATAACTTTCTGAATGAAGTTCTGATAAGGTCTTTGTTTCATATGATGAGGGAGGTGTAGTCTGTATTGAGTTAAAGTAAGGTAGTATGTCTGAGAACTAGTAATCTGTTTAAAGTCCTGCCTAAAATAAATTAGAACTTCCAAAATATAAATACATATTTATTATGTATGTTATCTTTTTCATTAATTGATAGGTTATTGAAGAGAAAAATGACCTAATAAGGCATCTTGAAACCCAGATAGAATGTTTGTTGAGTGATCAAGAATGTTTAAAGAAAAATAGAGAAGAGGAAATAGAGCAGCTCAATGAAGTGATAGAAAAACTTCAACAGGAATTGGCAAATATTGGACAGAAAACATCAATGGATGCTAATTCTCTTCCAGAAGAAGGAGAGAGTTTAAAACATCAATTGGATATAGTTACAGCTGAAAAGCTAGCTTTGGAAAAGCACGTAGAAGCTACTAATGAAGAAATGACCTTCATGAGAAATGTACTTAAAGAAACCAATTTTAAAATGAATCAGCTAACACAAGAATTATGCAACTTAAAGAGAGAACATGAAAATATGGAGAAAGTCCAAAGTGCACCAGAGAAGAGTGTTGACATGACTATAGATGATCTGAGAAAAAGCAAGCCTGCACTGCAAGTTCTTACAGAGGATGATCCTACACTCCTAGAAAATCAGACTTACTTCAGATCTTTTGAAGAAAACAGCAAAGTTTCCATAAGTAATTTGGGGAAAAAGTTGCTACAACTTGAGAGCACTGTTAGTGCAAAGGACTTAGAACTTATCCAGTGTCACCAGCAAATAAAAGACATGCAAGAGCAAGGTCAGTCTGAAACAGAGATGCTTCAAAAGAAGATTTTAAATCTGCAGAAAATTCTTGAGGAAAAAGTAGCTGCTGCCCTTGTGAGTCAAGCCCAACTTGGGGCTGTTCAGGAATATGCAAAGTTCTGTCAGGATAGACAAGCAGTGTCATCCAAACCTGAAAGGGCAAATGACCAGAATTTAAATCAACTAACAGAAGTCGAGATTGGGTCAGATGTATCAGCGTTAACCTTGAGAATATCAGAATTAGAAAGCCAAGTGGTTGAAATGAGCTCTAGTTTGATTTTAGAAAAAGAACACATAGAGATGGCACAGAAAAATGCTTTGGAAAAAGAAAAGAAGCTGCTAGAACTACAGAAGCTGTTGGAGGAGAGTGAGAAAAAACAGGAAGAGAAAGAAAGAAAAAGAAGCCCTCAAGGAGATTTTGAAGTTCTCAAGGTTAGTTTCTTACTTTATTTTTTGCCTGTAATCCCTCAAACTCTTTCCTTTATTCTTTAAACTGACTGCTTATTTATTAAATTAAACGTAGTGTCCTATTTACATCTAAGAATTTATACCAAAGGATTTTTTGTAAAAATACATTGTTGTGAACGAAAAACTTTAGGCAAACTATGAATAATTTTAAATAAATTTATTTGAGCAAAGAACAATTTATGAATTGGGCAGCGCTCAAAACCAGAAGAGTTTCCCAAACCTCTGCTTTACACTAGAGGACAGTGGGTATTTACTGACAGACCTCTTAAGTAAAGTACAGAGATAGCTCGATTTGTTACCACTAAATGTCTCCTTTGGTTGGACATGCTCTGATCAGTTAGCTGCTTGGGAATGGCTGAGAATTGAAAACAGCCATTTTCAATTTGGTTACCCACTCCTAAGTCAGATCACAGTTTCTTACATAAGAACTCAAGGTATAGAGGCAGTCTCAGGCCAAACTTAACAACACTGTGCAGTAACCTTATTATCACTAGAATAATGGATGTTGGCTATGTTTTGTGGTCTTCAAACATGGTACTTATTTCATCGTCCTTAGCAGTCTGCAGAAACACAGAAACATTAAGTTTAGCAAATGTCCTCTAGGACTTGTATGGGATTTTTTCCCTTAATTTCCTTATTATGTGCATGTTATGTTATCACTCCTTTAAAGTAATAAAAAGTATCAAAATATGTTATTATTGACGAAGATTACAGACTGACTTTGGAGAAAAAAATATATTAGTAACTAATGAATTAATGTGTGGGTGACAGATTTTCCTTTTACAAATTTTTTACCTTATAATAAGAGTTCGTCCTTTTTTGGGTAAAAATTTGTATTTGACCTCTGTAAGTATACTTATGTATATACCTACAATTGTAGTTATTTCTTAGCATATAACAGATGTGACAAAGGTATTTTTTTAATGCTCACTTTGTACATTTGTAGTTTTGAATATTAAAAGTATGGTCTTACCTAAACACAAGGCAATTACTAAGTCACAGTTCTTTAATTCCATTTACTAGACTTTTTCCTCTTAGCTCATTTGAACTACAAATTACAAGTAATGAACTTATAATTAAAATAATGTGACTTTCTACCTCTAAGAAATATCTTAATTACACCTGGTTCCTTTTGAGCAAAGTGATACAAATATGAAGCACTTTTGAATGGTCACAAAAATATTTTCCTTAATAATTCTTAAATTTTTAATATATATTAATGGCATGATTTATTTTTAATTTACTGAAAAACCTCATTCTTTTCTCAAGGAGAGAATCATTATCTCAAGAATATGAGGTGATGATTCAGAAAAACATTTCCTATTTGTTGGAAGAACTTTGATCATTGCAACCCCTTTTATTTGTAAGCGGTCACTCCTGGGAAAGTTTTATTAGATTATAGAAGTGCCTTGAATGTACCCATATTTTTTTAAATGATGTGTTTTGTATGTTTTCACAACCTTTCAGACAACTACTGAGCTAATTAATACCAGTGAAAAAAGTGGATTTGCGGGAGAACTTGAGGTTCTTAAAGCCGAATCAGTGGCTACCAAAGAAGAACTTGCCAGTTACAAAGAAAAGGCAGAAAAACTTCAAGAAGAGCTTTCGGTAAGAAAAGTAATAAAGCTCCTAATTCACTTATTCCTGTTTATCTCGATTTCATTGCAAAGCATGTTCTCTTCTCTACAAACAAACCCAGATCTATAATTGAAAAGCTACATAAAATCTTTTGTAGATTCAATGAAAAATCCCAGTGTTATGAATTGCTTTACCACCATCTTCTTGCTTGATTTTCTGGCAATCTTTCTTAGGAGGATACTTTTAATCTCTAGTCTGTTAATGAAGGAGAAAAGAGAACCAAAAGTAGAAAGTGATAAGGTTATTTTACTTCTATAATCTGTGACCATGCATACATACCATTACAGATGAGTGTGTATCTGAAATGTTTTTCCTAGTATTCTAAGGAAAGTGAACATAATACTACAAATTGTACTTTCCCCCTGCCTTTAAATTTGACTTTTTTTTTTTGACATAGAGTCTCATTATGTCACAGTTGAGTGCTGTGGCATCACAGCTCACAGAAACCTCAAACTCTTGGGTGTAAGCGATTCTCATGCCTCAACCTCCCAAGTAGCTGGGACTGCAAGTGCCTGCTACAAACACACAGCTATTTTTTAGAGACAGGGTCTTGCTCTGGCTCAGGCTGGTCTTGAACTCCTTAGCTCAGGCAATCCACCCACCTGGGCCTCCCAGAGTGCTGGGATTATAGGTGTGAGCCATCACACCCAGCCTAATTTGACATTAAATATGGAAAATTTTTAATTTGATTCTTTACTGTTCTATTCTTTACATTTTAGGTAAAAGAAACAAATCTGGCATCTCTTGAGAAAGATTTAAGCCAAGTTAGGGATCAACTTGCAGAGGCAGAAGAGAAGTTATCCCACTTCTTAGATAAAGAAGATGAGACTAAAGTACAAGAAAACAGAAAGGTCTACGTATTAGAGCCAATTCATATTAAAGTAGGTAAAAGCTCTGCATCCCAGACTGAGGGGAGCCCCATCAAGGTCAATAGCAGCAATCAGACTCCACAAGTTCCTGCAAGAAATGTAGGAATCCAGATTGATTTGCGGAGTGAATCTGAAGAAGTCACTGAAATCATCAGTCAGTTTACTGAAAAAATTGAGCAAATGCGAGAACTACATGCTGCTGAAATTTTGGATATGGAATCCAGACATATTTCAGAAACAGAAACCTTAAAGAGAGAACATTATGTTGCTGTTCAGTTACTGACAGAGGAATGTGCCACATTGAAAGCAGTGATACAGTGTGTGAAAACTAAAGAGGTATTTTGTTTTTATAATCGGGAGAGTTCAATATTCTGTTTTATCATTTCAGTAGATTTAGATTGTCAAGTTGAATTCCATTACATGTATGTATTTTATAGTGATGAAACCTAGGCTTTTAGTGCATTTGTCACCTGAATAGTATACATTGTACACCACAGGTGATTTTTCATCCCTTACCCCCTCCTCTAATTCCATCCAAGTCGTTGCAAAAGGTATAATTTCATTCTTTCTTATGGCTGAGTAGTGCACCACAGGGGGCACTTCGGTTGATTCTGTGTCTTTGCAATTGTGAATTGTGCTGCAGTGAAATGCGAGTGCAGATACCTTTTTGATGTAGTTTTATTTCCTTTGGCTAGATACCCAGTAGTAGGATTTCAGGATTAAATAGTTCTTTGAGAAATCTCCATACTGATTTCCATGGAGGCTGTACTAATTTATATTTCTATCAGCAGTAATAAGCATTCCCTTTTTGCTGCATCCATGCCAACATCTTTCTAATAATGGCCATTCTAATCATAGTAATGAAAAGAAACCGAGCCGCAGAGACAAAAAAGGTGGACCCCACTTTCTGGCAAAGAGTTTAGGGATTTTTCTAAATGGGCAACAGAAGCTTCTAAAGCTTGAAAATCTGCATTGAGCTGAGTGGTAAATGTTTTCATATTTGGACTGGATAATCTCAAAGCTAAAATTATGGTGCTCGTAGCTATAGAAATATTTGTAAAATTAAATACTGCATCTAAAAAAGTAAATAAAAGGGATATTACAGAAGCTATAGGAGGTGTGGCGGTGGGAACTGCAAGCAGCATTTCTGAATTTGCATAGGTATTATCTGGGGCTTCACTGGCCAAAGCTTGGACCGCGGGGATAAGAATTAACGATGGCTCTGGACTGCGGGGTATTTTCTGAATAGTGAACCAGAAGCCAGGGTCCCACCCACTAACATACAGTCTAACACCCCACGTTAAGCTTGTTTCCCATTTTGTTTCCTGCCAATTTTTCGTAGATAACTTGATAGGATTACAATTGAAATTAGAAGTGCAAATACCTGGTCCATCCCTTTGGAAGTCTATTTGTGGGTCCCTGGCTAGTCCCCATGATGCTATAGATTCACAGCCCCAGTTGTTACAATAGTATTTTTTCGCATTCCCGCAATAATGTCCATCTATGTTAGTTGAAGGGCATAAGTAAAAGTCTGTATATCTGAGTCCTTGGGCATGTACTGGCTTATGCAGCTCCAAATTGGATCTCCCTTTCTTCCATACCTGGTCCATGTGGTTCCAGTCTAGCCATAGCCAAATAGGGTGCAGAGGTCAAAATGGAAGACTGGCTGAGCGTTGGCTCTTTTATGCCACTGTCTTTGGTCATGGAGAAGATCCATGGAGCCGACACATGGGCTACTTTGGTGCCATCTTTAGTGCGGGAGAGGATCCAGTTGTAGGGGACTGGTTGGTGCTGATTGTAGTTTCCTTTTTTGCTGGTTCCTTGGTTGGTGTGGAGCAGACAGGCAAGGATGAGGAGGGAGATATGCACAGCCCGGAGTTTCAGGGGATCCCCAGTGGCTTGAAGTGCCATGTTGTAGGGATGTAGTCCTCTGTGGCCTTCTTAGTGTGGGTATAATGGATCCACACCTTCTTTGATGGCTGTTGGGGTAGTTAAAATAACAGGGTAAGGCCCTTCCCAATGTGGAGTTAAGTTTCAGGGTTATGTCTTTTTACCTATGGCCAGTCTCCTGGTTAGAGGTTGTGTAGCTGTTCCTCAGAGTTGACCGGCTGGCTGGCTTCCCAGAGATTTTTGTGCAGTTTCTGCAGGGCCTGTAAGGCATTTGCAAGTTTTTGGTTATGGATGGGGGCCAATAATTCATCAGTTAGTTTGGGGAGTATGGGGGGTGGAGTTCCACAGATTGTTTCAAAAGGAGTTAACCCTTGATGATAAGGAGTACACCAGGCTCTCAATGGGGCACAGGAGAGGAGGGCCACCCAGTTGTTGCCAGTTTCTATGTGTAATTTAAGCAAAGTTTCATATTTTTTCTAACCTGTCTTGAACTTTGAGGCCTATAGGTATAATGTAATTTTCATGTAGTGTTTAAGGCGTCCACCAGGTTTTTAAGAACCTGGGTTTATGAAGGCTGGGCCTTCATTGTCAGACCCCAGGGTGAGGGGCAAGCCGATCTTGGGGTAACGTCAGTGAGAAGGTGTTTTGCCACTGTTAAGGCTGTTTCTCTTTTGCATGGGAATGCTTCTGGCCATCCTGAGAAAGTATCAATTAAAACCAATAAGTATTTATACCCATATTAACCCAACTTGATTTCAGTGCACCCCAGAGACGTGATCCCATGTGCTGAGGCACTCAGGCAACATTTACCTTGTTACAGGGGAGGCACCTGGTGATTGTATCTTTAGTCCATTCATAGAGGCAGGAAATGTACAGGCATCTGGAGAAGAGCTGACAGTGGTTCTCTGGTGTAGCTGGTTAACAAGTTATTCCTTTGATGTTCCCAGGAAGAAGGGCAAATGAGCCTGTTCCCAAGGAGTCCGTCCCAAGGGCCTGCTGGATCTTGCCATCTGTTCTGATGAGGGTGGCAACAAGTGGTCCAAGCCCCACTGGTTTTAGGGCCCTCCTGGTGGACTTTCATTGGGGTGTCCCCGTCAGAGAGTTGCACTGTCACTGGTAGTTGGGGGCTCACTAGTCCTGGGGGGGTTGTCAGTGCCAGACCTAGGCTGTGAGACACTGTCAGGATGGCTCCAGCCAACCCAAAGGAGTCAGTGGTAGAGACCAATCAGACTTGACTCAGGAGCAGGCACTCACATTTGTACCTGTGTTTGCTAGACAGTTCACAGGTTGGCCTCTGATAGGCACAGTTATTCAGTTATTATAAGCTTCTGGGGGACTTGAAGGAGAGAAACAGAGTTCTCTTTAAGATTTTTGTCAGCGTTTGTGTCTGTGTCCTGGATGAAGTTTGAGGACAATTGTTTTTTCTAGTGTTTCAGTCCCTTGTAATAAGGGAAGTTAGAGTATCTATTTGGTGGAGTTCTCTGGGCACCTGTGCTTGGGGGAATTTTCTGGGTCCTTGTCTGCCTCGTGGCAGTTGCATTTACAGGTTTCCGATTGTGAAAAACCTGCAGGGCTACTTTTACTAACTCACTGAGATTTATGTCTTCTAACTCTCAAGTTTCTGTAGTTTCCTTTTAATATCGGGGGCTGACTGGGTGGCTATCTCTGGGTAGCTATCTTTATGGCCCGGGTGATTTCTGGGGCTTCTGGGCTAACAAGAGTGTCAACTATGTAAGCTGTGAAGGCCTTTAATAGCCTTCCTAGAAAAGCAACAGGGTTTTCAGTGGCTCCCTGAATGACTCCACTAATTTTAGTCATATTGGTAGGAGCTGTTTTAAGGTCCCAACTCAGAAGCTGGCGGTACTGTGGTAGAACCTCCTTACCTTCAGCCAAGGTATGGTCTCACGGGGGTCGGTTACTCAGGAATTGGGCCTCCAGTAAGGTGAAACTGGTGTTAGGACGTCCATCTGGACCTAAAACAGCTTTCCTGGATTCTATTTGAATGCATTTGTGTTCTTTAGTCGTGAATAAAACCTGAAGGAGTTGTTGGCAGTAGTCCCATGTGGGTTAGTAAGTGTTACAAATAATCTCAAGACTAGAAACCAGGTCCTGTGGTTCCTTTGAGATAGAGGAATTTTGGCTTTTCCAATTGCATAAGTTACTGATGGGAAAAGGGGAGCATACTATAAAGGGCTGTTCCCCTGATGGTGGGGTAGGGGTTAATGAGCGTAAAGGTAAGATGGGGATTCCTAAAAGTGCTCCTGCCTTTGGGGAATCTGGGACAGAAATAGGGACTGGGCTCGCTGGTCGGTATGGGGTCCCTCCCTGAGTTAGTGAGGATTTTCTAGGGGGCTCCCCCACCATTTCTTGGGGGTTCCGAGGGCCTTGTGGGTGGAGGTGTGATTGTGGAGAGCAAGATTTTACTTCCAGTTCCTAGGGAGGATCTGCGGAGCCATGTTGGAGGTGACTTACAAAGTTTTGCTCATATTTCTATGTATGGGACTTGATCAGCATGGCCTGTTCGCCCTGCTACGACCTCCCACATGGCCTGGCAAGAGGGCAGGGTCAAAAGATCCCTCAGGTGGCCAGCTGACCTTAAAGGATGGCCATTCCAACTCGCAGAGCACTCGGAGACAGTCTCTGGAAAGCTTGCTTCTAAACTCTTTCTATCTATCAGGGAGAAAGGCTAATTTAAAATGATCTATGAAACAATCAAGGGAGGTTTGGACACCAAACTGTGCCTTTCCTATGATATCCCTTACAGCATGCTTTAGGTGGGTGCGGATCCTGTTCACCAGGGGCTGCAGGAGAGGTAAAATAACCAAATCCTGCAGAGTTTCCACTTGTAAACCTAAACTTTCAACCCAGGTCCTGGGGAGCTCTGATGGTGGTGGCCCTGCGCGATACCTGCCTACAAGCTCTAACCACCACCACTAATAGTCAAGCTGAGATTTAAGGCCGGGCAGCAGGGGGACACGTCCCCAACTGGGGCTCAAGTAAGGGGCTCTATAATAGGCTTGAAGTAAAGCAAAAACTCTTAAATATAGAGAAAGCCTGTTATCTGGAGACAAACCCCTGTAAGGAAGGGAAGGAGTGGGGTGACAAATGAACCAGGTCAGTGGGGTGGGAGTTTTGGACCCACCAAGGGTGGAATGTAACTGCGTAACTTGTCCAAGAATTCCACTGGAACTGGTGGCACCCGGTTGTTTGACAGCCAGGCAGGTGCCAAGAATATATACCTCTTTCTGGAGTGCACTGCCCTTCCAAATTCCCCTGCCTACAGTAACAACACCTAATATTTTCCTGGCAAAATAGGCAAGTGGTGGGGGGAACTATTCTAGATAAAATAACTTTATATTCTAAAGGCACACCACCTCCTAAGGGGGCAAACATCCAGGGGTGGGGGGAGAATGAATATAAGGAAAATAAATATAGCAGCAATTATA